AGAGCTAATTCCAACCATGCCGGCTCACAGCTCATCCCACCCAGGGATCCTTCTACAAGGTCCACCCACAGCCACCTGTCTCCTGCAGAAGGAAGCCATGGAACTCTCATCCCCAGAGATGCTACACAGGCCTCAGATCCCTTAAGTCCAGGTAAGGCAGTAACAACAAGTCTCATCTCATGGATTTTTACCCAAAGGAGACTCCAACCATTCAGTAACCAAGTTTCTCTAGCTCCCCATCCTCCCACAATGCTGTACCCAGAGTAGTGTGGGTGGACAGAGGAATCATTCACCCACCAGCATGTATTTACTGAGCAATTACGAGGAGGCATTGTGCCCAGTGCTGGGCATGGTTCCTGCTGCCAGAAGCCCACAAAAACCTGTACACAAACAGCCAAACCACCACTACACCCCGGACACAGTGTGGCCCCAAACCAGCAGTACCATCACCTGGGGGTTCACTAGACATGCAAATTCTCAGAGCCCTTCCTCAGACCAAAAGAATCAGGATATCTGGAGCTGGAGCCCAGGAATCTGTTTTTAAAAGTGTGTCAGATCTGCATAATGCCTGTCTGGATCAGAAAGGCTTCCTCAACCTCCCTATTTAGCATTGCAAGCCAGTCCCAGGCCTTGGCTCCCCTAATCCTCTTCCCTGCTTCATATTTCTCTGAAGCTGTATTATTGTCAACCAGAATACCACATATCTCAACCATGTATTTACAACTATAACTTCCTACACTAATGGCAGCTTCTGAGGGAAGCAATTTGAGACACTTTTGTTCACTACTCTAGCATCAGTTGTCTAGCACAGTGCCCAGCACAAAGAAATGATCAATAAATATTTGTCAATTGAATGATGGATGGCAGAATGTGCCACATTCCACACACTACTAGTTCTTGGGAGAGCCTGAAGAGAGAAGGCTGTGGGCCACAAACCACCACATGGGGAAGGTGGGGCTCAGGTTGGCCTTGAAGGATGTTTAGGCCAGGGACGAAGGATGCTTGGTACAGAGAAGCTAAGCCTCTTATTGGAATAAGTCCCAGATGGTTAATACCATCATTATCTGATTAATAGCTGGTATGTGGCAAGAATTGTCCCAGCCTCCATCCCCTGACTTAACCTCCTGAGCCTCAGAGGAAAGTAGTGTTCTCAAAGGGGTACCAAGGCTCAGTGGCATTAGATAATTTGCCCCTCACACAAAAAGACTCATACAAGAATGTTCATAGCAGCTTTATTTATAGTTTCTCCAACCTGGAAACAAACCCAAATGCCCATTCTGCAGGTGAATGAACAAACCAATTGTGCTACATTCATACATGTAACATTACTCAGCAATAAGACTGAACAAACCACACACACACCAGCAAGCATGGATCTTGAAGACATGTTGAGCAAAAAGAAGGCAGACACAAAAATGTTTATACTACATATGAAGCTCTAGAACTTAAATACAGTTAATAAGCTAAATTGAACTTAAGTTAAGCATTGGTAACAGAAAGCAGATAAGAAATTGCCACTGGGGGGGAGGGGATGAGGATGATGACTGAGAAGAGAATATATTCTATATTCAGAATGGGTTAGTAGTTATATGGGCATTTATATTTGTCAAAACTTGTAGAACTGAACACTTAAAATCTGTATTTTATCATATTAAATCATATCTCAGTAAAAGATGAGATAAAAATAATTTTGCCCTAAGTCACAAAGCCACAAATGGAGATGTGAAACGAGGCTCACCTAATTCCAATGCCCACACACATCTGCTGGGGTTGAGTAGGGAGTCCCCAGCAACCCCCCCAGCCTGGTAAAATGCCTTGCCAAAATCTGAATGAAAGGATTCACAGTTATCTTAGGATGGAAGTCTCAGGCCTCCAGCCCCCAAACCATGACAGAGATTCATAGGGAGGCCAGACTAGTGTCCTGGTGGGAGTCAACAAACTTGGTTCAGGCCACAGCTCTGCTCTTCACTTGCTATATAACCTGTGAGTTCACTATGACTCAGTTTCTCCTTTTATGGAGCAAAGATGAAGGAGGGAATCAATGGTTCCCATCATAGGACCCTGGATCCTGGGGCCCAAAGGAGCACAGGCACCTGTTTACCAAGCACTATTTTTATGTTAAATAAGTAATGTGCCTAGTCAATTTTTCTAATGCCTGCTAATATTATAATAATTAATATAAAGCACATCTATTTCAAAGCAAAAGTGAAACCACAATACCTTGTTTTCATTGTGTATTTTCTCAAACAAAAGACACCAAAAGAACAACTACTGCTCATGACTTTGGTTTAAAGAGGCTAGGAATTTCTTTGTAGAGGATTGCTAAGGGGCTGGTCGCCAAGGGGACGGTCACCAAGGGGACGGTCGCCAAGTGCCCTTCCAGGTCAACTGCCCCATAGTTGTCCCACATCACTTGGACAAATGCTTGCCCTTGTATTCCGAAGGCCTGGGTCCCTGTGGGACAAGCCTCTTGTCGGAGCTTGAGGGACAGAGCCCCCCATGTGTGGTCTGCATCCTGGCTCTGCAGCCCCCTCTGCTGCAAGTCCCCAAATGTCATCATTACAGCACCTTAGGCCTCAGTCTCCCCTCCAGCTCTGATAATGACCAGTAAAGACGAAGCCTGGGCATTTTCCTCCCTGACCCCTTACCATGAGCCTTCAGTGCCAGAAAAGGGAGTCCTTGGTCACAATCGTACCCTAGTCCCCAGCCACTACCACTGAAGACCATAGCCACTAACAAGATTCTGGTCCTAGCCTAGCCAAGCCCCCTCACCCCCACCTTCCCCCAAGCCTGAAGGACTGAGTAGCAGAGCTCACATTCAAGCACAAGGTGAGACCTTTTTACTCACCCCGGTGGCCCAGCCAGACCCCCTACTCTAGACACATCCTCAGCTACAGGCCAGGGGTCCTAGATCACAGATAAAAACCCGTTTCTCACGGCCTCCCCGCGTGAGCCCTCCCCTCAGGTTTCTCGGTGGTTCGGGTGCTGAGTCAGAGCTTTATAGAGACTCAGAATAAGGCAGGGCCTCTCATAGGCCTTGATCTGGGCCCGCCCCACTCTGACGGGGATTTATAGAAACACCACCCTCAAAGAAGCCTCCTCTGGGCAAAGCCCACCTACCCACCCAATCCCCAATCCCCACCCATGCCCCCAACGCTGAGGCTAGAACCTACCTAGCACACTTGATATGTGAAAAGTAACAAAGCCAGTGGTCAAAGACCACCAGCTCCCTGTACACCCACTCTCCTCCCCTTGAAAACTCCACTCGCTACTTTTATTCTATTTTCCCTCCCTCAGACTGGAAGCAGCTCGTGAACCTGCCTTCTCTCAAGGGTATACCATCCCCCTCTCACGAACTTTGCTGGTCAATAGACAAAAGATAATCACCCAATCCACAGTGAGATCGCCTGCCACCCACCTCTGCCCCAGGACCTTCCAGACCCTGGAGGCCCAGACCCTCCTTCCCCGCCCCTCTCCATTCCCCACCACCGTGGGCAAACTGCAGAGGGCTTTACTTAGGGCCTGAGGACGCACTTGGCAAGGCCCAGGGAGGCCCAGCGATTGGCGCCGGACACCCCCACCCACCCACACGCACACTGCATCCCCACTGCAAGGGGCTAGGCGAAAAACCAATGGGGAACGGGAGAGACCCGGATAGGGGCGCCGATCCAGCCACCCGAGGCGCACTCACCACGCAGCGCCGCGGAGCCCGCGCGTCTGCGCTTGGGCGGCGGGGAAACAAACCCACGCGCGCTGTTCAATCCGGGCTCCGAGTGACGAAAAGCCACGCTCGGCTCCTACCGGCCACAGACCGAGGCACAGACCCGCAGACCCGCTGACCTTCTGGCTTCCCAACTAAGTTTGAAAGTTCCCTTCCCCGATAGGAAAAAGGACGCGGACCTCGGGACTGACCCTAAGCCTCCGGGTTGGGCTCCGCGGGGGAGCGGGGGTTGGACCTCCTGTCCGGGCTTGGAGACGCGCAAGCCTCTGACGCGCAAGAACTAGTGGGGCGCTGCGCAGCCCACTAGACCTGGCTAGGGGTGGGGACCGCGATCTTGGAAAAATGGGGTAGGGATATGCCCCTGGCTTCAGCCCCAGTCTGGAGGGACTCCCGCTCACCGTTCCCGGGAGGGGACAGGCCTTGATTGGTCATTGCCAACTCGGAATCGAAGGCGCCGCTGGGCAGTGACAGCCAATTAGTATACAGCCCAATTAGTGCGCGGCTACGTCGAGAAGTTAAAACCTCGACGCGGGAGAGTGGGTGACCAAGGTGTGTGTATGGGGGGGTGGTTAGGAAATGAAGGGCAATGTGGAGCCTGTGGCTGTCCCTGGGTGTGACCGCGTGTGACTGTGTGACCATCAGGGCGATTTGTATCTGCGGTTCACCGTCCAGGGGTGGCTGTGTGTGGCAGTGCGCGCTTGTGTGAGTCATTGTATGAGCTGTGACTGTCGCAGAGACTTCTTTGTGTGACCGTCCCCATCTGTAACTAGGTGTGACAGCTGACAGGGGCATATAACGGTGTGTGTGGCGACATAATGTGTGTGGCTGTGTGACTTGTGTCTGGTAGTGTGCCTGTACGTGGGCGAGTGACTGCAAGTCGTTGTGTATAAATGACTGTCAAGCTGACTTGTGTGGGACGGTAAAGACAGGGCAAGTAGTGCATGGCTGTCTGTGTAGCAGTGGGTCACTGTGCGTCAGCTAGGGAATGAGAGGCGTGGGTGAGTGTGTCACTATGTCGTCGTCCGAGTGACTGTCGGGGTGACTTCTGCCTGTGACCAGAACAACTCAGGGCGTGTGTGTGACCGCGAGGGTATCGGTGTGAAGGGGCACGTGCCCGTCGGCGGGGCTGTTATGTGCGTGTCCCCCAGTGTGCGCCCCAGAGCGCGCGCGTCCCAAGCCGCCAGGTGACTCTTGCCCTGCGCTCCGGCCCAGGACGCTCGGGCCCTGGCCAGGGGTCGGAAGGCGCCCGCGTGGCCCGTTCACCGCGCCCCCCGCCTACCTTGCTGCAGTGGTAGTAGTCCAGGTGCGCCAGGCCGGCGGGCTCGGCCCCGGGCCGCGCGCCCACCGCGGGCGCCGAGGGGTACAGGCGAACGTCCATGGCGGGCGCGGCGGCGGCGGCGGCTCCCGCGGGCAGTGCCTGGGCGGGCGGCGGTGGGAGCCCTGTGCGAGCGGGTGTGCGAGCGCGGGGGGCGGGCCGGGGGCGGGGCCCGCATCAGCGCCCCGCCCCCGCCCCGCCCCGCCCGCGCGCGCTATTGTTCCGGCCTCGGGCGCCTTGGAGGGCAAGGGGGCCGGGCGGCTGCGGGGAGGTCGCCGTCAGGGCTGGGCGCCCGCCGGGGCCGCTGCCTGGCCCTCCGTCCCAAGGGTCCCTAGGGTTGCGCTCCTGCCCAGGCAGTCCTTCCCTGTCCCGCCTTTCGCCACCAAGAAAGAGGGGAAGAAAAAGCCGGCACCTACCCCTCTCCAGACGTGGGACACTCCCTGCCCTAAATATTTGGGGCGACGCCAACCCCCACATGGCATGGTAGAAGGAGGTAACAGAACACCTTCAAAGATGGTTACTGCTTTACCTGGGGGGAAAGCGGCCCAGCGCCTGAGGCCGATCTTAGGGTACCCTCTCATCCATCATCTGATTGATTAGTTACAGTAAGGGGGAACAGCGCACGTAAACTCTTAATTTTATATATGGGGAAACTGAGGCAAGGACTTGCGGCACCAGTAACCAAGCACCAGGCCGGCGTGCTCCACTGCCCGCAGAACTGAAAGTGCTTGGAGAAGGTGTTAGAATTCCTACCCCTTTAACGATTTTCGGGGGCGGGGGGAGAACTGAAGCTCAGAGTATGGGGGTAAAGTAGGCCTCCACTCATGACGTCCTAGAGTGCGAAAAGAAAGCAAGTGGATTGGACCCCTGGCAGGTCAAAGAAATGACTGGAAGGTGGACTTCCTCTCTAAAAAGGAAGTCTCTCAACCCCCCCATCCCACCCCAATTCCACAGACCCTTGTTAGCTACTAGACTGTTGCTCCTCCCCTTTTCATGCAAGAATTGTCTACACCAGCATCTCAACTCCTTCACCTCCTACTCATTGCCCCACCCACTGTCCCCTGCTTCCTGTGTTCCTGTCTCTGGAATACCTTTGAGGCCTGCCTGGAAAGGGACAGGAGGCACAAGTCAGCTAGTACAGGATTGTCCTGTGGCAGTAGGACATAGTGTGCTATTTGGTGAAAAAAGCTTGGGTCTCTTGCCCACTTAGGAGGCAGCTTAGAATTTAGCTCCCACCTTCTGCTTGGGCTTTGCTGGTCCTTGGCCTAAAGCTAACACCAGTATTTGTAACCATAAAAATTCAGGAACACAAACTAGGTGTGGGAAACAGACTTTCCCTGAAGGGTTGGGAATAACAGAGGGAAATGACAGCTCAGAAGGGAAAGAACTCCTAAATACATTTCAGCAGTCATTGTTTCTAGAAACTCAGTGCCACTGCTTATCAAAAGGAATTTCCTCCTAAGCCTTTCTTTTCTTTTTTTCAATCTAGATACCCAACCCACCAGCCCTACTTACTATAAAGATCATCCGTGCATACACACCATTTCTCTGCAGTGCTTTGTCACAAAGCAAGTAGTCTATTTGCACATGGGACTGTTTCTGTATTCTCTATTTTGTTCTGTTGGCCTGTTTTCTCTCCTTGTGCCATTATCATATTGTCTGAACTACTGCAGCTTTATAAGTCTTAATGTCCCATAGAACAAGTCTACCTACTTGTTCTTTAAGGCTGTCTTGACTATTGAACTTTGTACTTTTACAGAAATCTTAAAATCAGCTCATTTGTTTACACACACACACACACACACACACACACAATCCTGCTGGAGTTTTGATTGGTATCACATTGACTTTAGATCAATTTGGACAAAATTGACATTTTCAATGAGAATTCTTCTTATCCATGAACATGGTATGTCCATTTTTTTTTTCAAAAATCTAGCAATGATTTGTATGTGGAAATCTGTCACATCTCTTATTAGATTTAGACCTCAGTGTTTTGGTTTTGATGCTGTTATAAATGATTTCATTATTTTACCTTGTTTGTTGGCAATATAGTATAGTGGTTTTATAGCAAGTCCACAGATCCTTTGACACTTCTCCCAAAGGGTGGAGCCTAGTAACCTTCACTTTGAAAAAGACTGATATTAGTAAATGGTTTTTAACAAATAGTGAGGCGGAAGTGATGCTGTGTGACTTCTGAGGTTGGACCATTAAAAGTCGATACAGCTCTGCCTGGCTCCCTCTCGTGGGGCCTTTGTCTTTGAAGTTCTAGGCCACCATGTAAGAAAGAAGCCTCTGGCTGCCAGGCTTTGATAAAGCCCAAACTAACCCACACGCAGAAACCATATGCACAGACCCTGGAACTAAATGAAGACAGGAAGATGCCTTGCTGTTCCCAGCTGCTCCACTTCTGTCCACTGCCTGATGCAATCACATAAACCCTCTGAAATGTGTAGCTAAGCCTTTCCTGAATTCAAAACATACAGAAACTGGGACAGGTAATAAGCACTTATTGTTATTGTGAACCACAAAGTTTTGAGGTAGTTTGTTACTCAAGAATACAAACTTATTATAAATAGAATTTTACCTAATGTCCTTATACCCAGCAATATCAACAAGCTCACTTATTAATTTTATTTGTAGATTCTCTGCCTTTAAAAAAATACTACATTTTCTATCTAATCTGTAAAAATGAGGATTTACTTTCCCTTTTTAATCTTTATACATTTCTCTTTCTTGCCTTGTTTCACTGGCCAGTATCACCAATATAATGTCCAAAGTAATAATGGCAGCCATCCTTGTCTCCTTCTTTATCTCAGAAAAAATATCAGTATTTCACTATGACTAGCGTTTGCCATACATTTTGTCTCATTCTTTGTGAATACCTTTGTTGCAGGTTGGTGAGGTCAATCTACACAAACACACTTGAGGTCAAGAAATAAGATTGCTGTGGCTGTTTTACTGATGGGAAGAATGGGACCAGTGAGGAATGTTCTCAACACCCCAAAGTTAATAGCAGAGCCAGAGCTATGGCTTAGCCCAAGATTCCCACCTGGAGTACTCCCCCTTGCCTGCATTTCTAATCTTGGTCTCATCAACTTTGACCAAAGCCCGTGATGTAGAGGCCCACACGCAAGGGTCAGCTGAGCAGCCATTGTCTTCTTGAAGTCTGCCAGCAGCAGCAACCATCAGCCCTGCCAGTCCTCTACATATGTTCCCTTCCTTGAGGAGAGGGGTAGCACCAAGGGGGCATCTGGGAAGTCTGGTTGTGAAGTCCAGGGAGGCTGTGTAGGCCCAAAAGCTGGGCTCCACCCTGGAGTGTTTCAGTTGATAGAAAGTTGATGAGTTGTCTCCACTGAAGTAACACCACAGCCACATCTGTCATCTTCAGGATGGGAGTGGGGCTTCAGCCCTCCTCTCTTGGGGGATCTGAGAGGGAATCTCTAATCTCAACCATAAGACAAGCTGATTTATGTCCTGCCTACAGCAGCCCAGTTTGGGAACTCAGGATAACTGCTTTGCATTTTCCAGCTTTCAACTTCTTATGCCTTAAGTACCCTACAATCAAAATATAAATGTGTTTGGTATGTTTTATTGTTAGTTAGATGTGATAAAGCCAACCGACTGGGAGATCGTTGCTATTGACAAGGTAGTTTGGAACTCACATTCCCAAGAGGGGGGGCACACCATGCCACAGAGGGCCACACGGGAAGTACCAAGATCAGCCACGAGGCAGAGGAAGAGGGGAGAACTGTGCCTAAGCACTTCTAATGTGGTTACCTTAGGAAGAGGAGCATACAGGCAACATAAGTAGGTTCAGGATTGGCCAATTTGAATGTCAGTGGATCTGGGATTAAGGCCCATCCCTAGTTTCTGGTTCCTGACCCTGGAGTGATTGAGCAGGTGAATAGTGACCCAGAGTGTGGGAGCCCAATGAAGAATGCTGTTGGAGGTAAAGACTCCAAACAGCTTCTTCTTTCATTCTGACAGTGAAAGAAGTCACAACGCAGCCCTGTCTGTCTCTTTCTTCTGTGACTCTACTGTAAGCGTGCTGGGATATGTTATGTTGATCTGGGGTGCAGAAAAGGGAGATCCACAGAGAAAAACTCACCTGCCTTCATTGAGGTCCTCCAAAAGCAGACCCTGAGACAAGGGTTTTAGAACAAGAAGTTTGTTGGACAGTGGTTGCCGGATACAGAGTAGGGGAGTGGGGAAGAGAAACAGGAAAGGGCAACAGTTAAGAAAGGGCATGTGCTGGGCGCCAGTGCCTCATGCCTGTAATTCTAGCCACTCAGGAGGCAGAGATCAGGAGGATCATGGTTTGAAAGCAGCCCTGGCAAACATTCCACAAGACTATATCTCGATAAAACCCCTCCAAAAAAAAGGCTGGTGGAATGTCTCAAGGTGTAGGTCCTGAGTTCAAACTCCAGTACCATGCAAAATAAAGGGGGGGGGGCACACGTTATTAAAACAAATGACCACTATGGAGCTGAATTCCACTGGAGAGCTCTTGAAAGCCATGTAGCACACATGTCCTACTTGAGGGCAAGGAGCCTGGTCTTACTCACCAAGCCCTATCAGTCCAGGTTGACTGATGTTCCCAAGAGCATTCATTCCCAGAAAGAAAGCTCATGCAGGCAGGCAGAGGGGGTGCTGAAAACAGAGAAATCCCTTAAGCAGAGGGGTGCAGGAATCAGCAGAGGATGGGCTGCACGGGGAGGGGGAGGTGTAGGGAAATGTGTGAAGGTTTCGGACATGTGATAGAGTTGCCGTAATATCTGGATCCCTGCTCAGATCTGTGCAGTCACAGAGTAGAACTCTGCTTTCCTCGGACGCTTTGGCCTGTGTGTGCACACAAACATCTCAGGAACTTGGAAGTAGGTGGTTATTGTCTGAGCACAGCAGTTGGGCATTACAGATGTCTGGCAATTGCACCCTCCCCCCATCCTGGTCAACAGCACTCCAACTCGTCTATTATTTCTGAAAACTGGCCAAGTCAACCTGCAACTTCCACTTACAGTGTCTGCTGGGCAGCTGATCAACTGGGTTATTGCATGTGGCAG